ATGTTCTTTTCTAGTTTTTAATATGTTGTGTCAATACTATAGCTCACCCTAAAACTGTTTTATTGTGTTTTTTATACCTAAACAAAAATTTTTAGAAAGCTTCAACTTTAATTGCCCACTGTTGGCTAAAATAATACTAAATATTGCCAATTTGGTTACAATCTGTTTACAATTTTAGAGTTTCCTAGGCAACATGTCTGTTTACTATGGTGTGTGCTTAATTTTTTAAGAGTTTTGCTGTATGGAAATTAGTATTAGACAAACAGAAGACAGAAATTTAGTGGAATAAGACGATGCCACAGAACATGAGACAAAAAGAAAAACATGGATAAATTTGTCGCATGTTTTCAGTGGCATGTAATTAGAGCAACATGCCAATATGCTATTATTAATTTAGTTGTAAATTAAAGATTAAATTTTGTGTTAATTTTCTTACATGCATTATTCAATCTATATATGGCTACTTAAATTGATGTATCTTCTTCATTTTCTATCGTTGCCATTATCTTTTTTTTTTTGTTTAACAGCACTTTTTTAACCCACTAAAACAGACTTTTTTCGTTAAAATGTAGTCAAATAATCGGGTACATGAAAAAAAATCTTAAATCCGATATTTTATTTTTGGTTAACGGGTTTGTTACACGCCTTAAACTGTCATCAGCTGATGATGCTGTGCATGAATCGGTTTAATTTGTTTATTTACGTCAAAGAGAATTTGTAATATGCTTATAAAAATTATAGTCAAATACAAATTGCGCATAATCTACTGTATATAAATTTATATTCTCTCGATAAACCTTTCTTCGTCCAGGATAAGATTAATTCAATGGTCTAATTTTCATTTGGAAACTAAAACTGTCATAGATAACTGTAGCCAGACCATCATCATTTATCCAATTTTAATATTCGTTCGTGGTATTTCTATACTGTAATTGTAGTTTTTAAATCGAAAATGGATATTTTCAAGATTTCAACATTTTAATCCTCAACCAAACCACAACATAAAACCTCAAATATTAAAAAGTATTAAACGATGTAAATCTTAAAAATATGCTAAAATAGGCCTCTTCCGCATAATAATTCCATACAAGGTAATAGCTATGAATAATCATCCACTCAACGTTTTAACTCTTATCATTTATTCATCAGGGCTTTTCTCCTTTGACCCGTGCAGTGAATGATACGCAAAAGTATCAAAGGCTTCTACATGTACTGTAATTAATATTTTTTGGGTTGACGATCTATATCCTCATGGGAACTCTCATATAGCACCAGATCCATACGGAACTATGACCTCGTTTTAGACGTCCATGAGAGGAAAGTTGTAGATCTAAATCCTCATGTAATAATAGTTCGAAATCTACTTCCCCACAGTTACGAAGTTCGAAAGCCCAAACCCCATTGAGGTCGGTTTTAGTTGGATTACTGTATCGGAAACAAAGCTAAACCATGTATTAGCGTTGTTAAACCAATCATGACCCAGATTATGACCCGATTACAACTAATAAACCAAAACCCAACTAATAAACCAAAACCCAACAAAATCCCCAAATTCAAAATTCCCAAATCCTAAACCCTAGAAATCGAATTCGAAATCAAAGCTGAAGGAAGAGGTTGACGACGATTTCGATGGGCTTAGTCATTCGTCGTGCGCTTGGCGAAGACGATTTCGATGAAGAAAAAGTGGACAGAGATGCAACTGAAATCGAGAAAATGGTGGAGGAATTTGAGGACGAGCCTTCGATTTTCCACGACAACATTCCAGAAAGTGATGACGATGATGAGGGAGACATAAGAAAAAGACTACAATTAACACTCAAATATGAACCCATAACACTATACTTACCCTCGATTTCAGAAATTACTGATTACAACAATCGATTTTCCAGAATCGAATTTAGGGTTCTTACTGAATTTTTTTGATTTGGGGATTTTGGGACCAAAGTGGGAATAAAATGCTGTCATATGGGTCGGGTTCGAATCGGGTTTTTTTAGTTCGGTCGGTTTTTTTTTGTTTGGTTTCAGCGATTGATGGTTTAACTCTCGGGTTTACATCGCAAACCGGCAGAAACCGTAAAAACCAACACATCTGGGGAAGTAGATTTCGAATATTATTACATGGGGATTTAGATCTACAACTTTCCTCTCATGGACGTCTAAAACGAGGTCATAGTTCCGTGTGGATCTGGTGCTATATGATAGTTCCCATAAGGATATAGATCGTCAACCCATATTTTTTTAGTAATTGTAAAAAACAAAAACATCATTTTTGTACTCTCTATTTATATCTATATATTAGTAGATCATATTTCTAAATAATTTAAAATATGGTTAACAACAATTATTGAAAATATTTTTAGAAAATCCCATTAGTGTATATTTATTTTCGTAGATAATGTGTGTAACAAAAATTCGAATATCCTATCATATAATCAACATATCCGATGATTATCAATATCATTATTGTTTTTACTATGTATGTAAAGGAGGGAGTAAAATAAAAATTAAAATAAAACAGTTAAGAGTCTGGTAGTCAGTATCAACAAGAGAATCTCTTGGACTCGATCAACGACGAAGCTTTGATTTATAAACCCCAAAAGTTGGAAGTCAAAAATCTCTTACAACAACCTCTCAAAGATTCGTCTTTTGTGTTCCTTCTTCTTCTTCCTCCTCAAATTTCTGTGTTGGATTTGCATTTTTACTCATCTTTCTTGTTCTTTTGTATAATTTCTGATATGGGCGACACCGGAAGACACAAATGGTTCTCCTTCCACCACCACCGCTCAGCCTCCGCCACATCTATGCCGCAACACAATCCCGGCGAAACTCCGCCGGAGTTTCTCTGCCCAATCACCGGATTTCTGATGTCGGATCCCGTCGTCGTCGCATCGGGTCAGACATTTGAGCGTATCTCCGTCCAAGTTTGCCGGAACCTCGGGTTTGCGGCGAAGCTACTCGACGGAACACACCCCGATTTATCCACTGTAATCCCAAATCTCGCCATGAAATCAACTATTCTCAGCTGGTGCGATAGGAAGAAACTGGAGCATCCACGACCTCCTGATTACGCCTACGTCGAAGGCGTGGTTCGTGCTCGTATGGATAAGGATCCGGGTTCGGGTAATCGGGTCTCGAGATCGGAGATTTTACCTCCGGTAGCTGAGAATTCACCGTCTGATTACGATTCCGTGATGAGCGCGATTCGATCTCGGTCAAGGAACTCGATTTCGTCTTCCACTTCCCTTCCGAATCACCATCCCCGACCCGTTAGCCACTCCATATATTCCAATTCCTCGGGAGTTTTCGCCGGAGATGAGAATCCAAATCGGATCCATGGCTCATTCTCAACCTCCGATTACTCTTCTTTTCCTCCGATGTCAGAGGAGGAAGAAGAGATTTACAACAAACTGAGAAGCCCAGACACAATCGGTCACGAGCAAGGACTGATTCTGCTAAGGAAGACGACGAGATCCAGCGAGAACGCGAGGGTTTCTCTCTGCACAGATCGGATCCTCTCATTTCTCCGGTCACTCATCGTCTCACGGTACAACGTCGTGCAGACGAACGCCGCCGCGTCGCTGGTCAACCTCTCTTTAGAGAAACCTAACAAATTGAAAATCGTACGGTCAGGATTCGTTCCTCTTTTGATCGATGTTTTGAAATCAGGTTCAACGGAGGCGCAAGAACACGTAATCGGAGCTTTGTTCAGCTTAGCGGTTGAGGAAGAAAATAAAATGGTGATCGGAGTTCTCGGTGCGGTGGAGCCGCTCCTCCACGCACTCCGATCATCGGAAAGCGAAAGAGCGCGTCAAGACGCGGCTCTTGCGCTTTACCATCTCTCGCTGATACCTAACAACAGAGCAAGGCTGGTTCGAGCCGGTGCGGTGCCGATGATGCTGTCTATGATTCGATCCGGTGAATCGGCGAGCCGGATTCTTCTGTTACTATGTAACTTAGCGGCTTGTTCGGAAGGGAAAGGAGCGATGCTGGACGGTAACGGAGTGGCGATACTTGTTGGGAAACTTCGAGAAGGCGGAGCTGATTCGGAGGCGGCGCGTGAGAATTGCGTGGGGGCTTTGTTGACGTTAAGTATAGGGAATATGAGGTTTAGAGGATTGGCTAGTGAGGCTGGAGCGGAGGAGATTCTGACGGAGATTGTGGAGGGTGAGAGTGGAAGCGAGCGGTTAAAGGAGAAGGCGGCGAAGATTCTGGTGGCAATGAGAGGCGGCGGAGAGAGGGAGTTTGGTGAAGGTGCGGAGGCGCGTGAGTGGAACCGCATGTTGGAAGCGAGTGGGTTGAGTCGGTCTCAGTTTCAAGGAGGGCAAAAAGAAGGTTTCGCTTATTCTTCTCAGTTTTAACGCTATCCGATTTTTTTTTTCCCTCCTTCTTGTTGGTAAAATATTTTTTCAAAGCTTTTTTTTCTTACAATTTTTTGTTTTTTGTTTTTTTTACTTCCGGAAAAAGGGAGTTGAATATTATTTGGGAAGTGACTGTGTAATATTCTGATTTGTCTTTTACGATGAAACGACAAAAAAGTTGAATGTTGGTTCGTTTACAGAAAATTGCGCTCGTGTTTCATGTATATGATATTATGAGGTCGTGGACTAACAAAAGTCGTTTCAATAATTGGTGTCATCAATTATATGTATATAAGATTTGTAACGAAGATTTAGTCGTTGGTCAAAATAGTTCCATAGCCAACGTTTCAGTTATACAAGTTCGAATAATCTAATTGAGTAACATTCTGCCTGAGGTCATGTGATGCAGTCACCAATTTGCCATTCTTCCATAACCATTTTATACGTCACGAGAATAGCTACAAATAAACAAAATTATTTTGTTTTAATTATTTGGAAAGCAATCTGAATAACAAATATAATTTGGATTTGTTCTTAGAAATGCTCTCTTTTTTTTTTTCGTCTTGACTTTTCTCTAATAAAATCTAATGAAAACCAAATTCAACAATTGTTTTCTTTTACTAATACAGAGTCATCCCATGACATTTTAGATAACCGGACCTAAATTGTAAACCGACCCAATTTCCCACTAATTTTTTGGGTAAGAGAACCGATCGATTCAAAACAAAAGAGTAAACCGATACGAATATTGCACCGGTCGTTGGTTTTCCTACGAGATGAGCAAATCTCAGAAAAGAACACGCCTACACTTGGACGACGGCGACTCAAAAACCCCGGCCACTAAATCCACCGTGTACGGCGGCGATCCTTACCCTTCACATCTTAGACCTACATCTGACGAATGTCGAGACGTAAGGGACGCTCTGTTGTCTCTCCATGGGTTCCCTCCCGAGTTCGACAGTTACCGTCGTCAGAGACTCCGATCATCCTCCGCCGTAGATGGTTACCATACTCATTGTACGATGAAATCGGAGCCGTTGGAAGCGGCGAACGATGAGAAGGATGAGATCGAGGAAACTGTGCTTGATGGGCTGGTTAAAATTCTTCTCTCCCAGAATACGACTGAGATCAATTCCCAAAGGGCATTCGCTTCTCTTAAAGCTGCATTTCCGAAATGGGAAGATGTAAGCACTCAAAATTACATGTTACATTCAAAGCAAATCGTTAGGTTCAGTTGGTTTCCAGATTCTGAAAGATTTGGGAATAAGGTTTAGGGTTTGTGAAGTTTGATGATTCCTGATGTTGATATCGTTATGGCTTTAGGTTAAGGAATGGTGGACTTCATTCATAATTCTTGGATAAAGGCATATAAACAGTTTAATCATGTTCTTGGAGAAATTGGGGAATCCGTGAGCTTACTTCTATTTAAGATAATACTGAAATGTTTTGAGAAAAGGCATCTTGATATTGTCTTAATGGAAAAGATTTGTGTTGGTCACTGGATTGTATATATAATTTCAAGATTGACTCACTTTAGATTCTTTTCCTTAATGATTTTTGTAGTTAATGTGCTTACAATCACTTGAATTCTGTTCCCTTTGATCGATTGTTGAGAAGTCTTCTTTTTTGCATCCCTTGTAGGTTTTGGGTGCTGAGCCAAAATCAATTGAGAATGCTATAAGATGTGGAGGATTAGCACCCAAAAAGGCTGTATGTATCAAAAACATCTTGAGCCGTTTGCAGAGCGAAAGAGGCAGATTGTGCTTGGAGTATCTGCGTGGTTTATCAGTAGAAGAAGTAAAAACCGAGCTCTCTCATTTCAAAGGAATAGGACCCAAAACGGTAAACACCCTGTACTTTTAAACAGTTTCAAGAACCTTCATATGTTTTGAGAGAGCTACTGTTATCCATATCTTGGTTATCAATGTGACAACAAGAAACAAGATATAACTTTTGGAAACTGACATAGGTATGAAAACAGGTTTCTTGTGTTCTAATGTTCAATCTCCAGCACAATGATTTCCCTGTAGACACCCATGTGAGTGCTTACTTAAATTCTTGTACTTGGTATTAATTCTTCTATGGATCAAGCGGATCAAATGACATACAAAAACCAACTAAAAACAGGTATTTGAGATCGCAAAGGCGATAGGTTGGGTCCCAAAAACCGCAGACAGGAACAAAACCTATGTTCATCTCAACCGTAGGATCCCCGATGAGCTCAAGTTTGATCTGAACTGTCTGTTATATACGCATGGAAAGCTCTGCAGCAATTGCAAGAAGAATGTTGCTAAACCAAAGGCAAAGTCAAAAGCTAAAGTATCTTCCCCTGATGATTGCCCTCTTCTGGGGTTTTCCGGTTTAGTCTAGATAGCCAGAATTATAACTCGTTTTACTTTGGTTTGGTTATGGCCCCTTAAGGACACAATTTTTTCTGCTTGTATTAATCTGAGCTTATTTAATTGTAGTTTTTTTTCTTAATCTCTACACATTGAGAATAGTAAACTTAAATTATCCGTTCGTGGAGGTGATTCAATTCGATGTATTGTTTGTTACTTCTGCATCAAATGGCAGATTCATAACATTGTTATAAAATTACTACACGGAGGAGGTCGATAAATATATGTAGAATAACTTTGGGGAAATAATGGAATGATGTTCAAGGTTTGGAGCTAAAAGCGAAACACCCAAAATTACAATTTAACCCACATATTACTGGGAACTTTTGTCTCGTGCGCATTCATCTTCATCACCGTTCTAAATTCTTTTGATCCTCATCGGGAATGGCGTTTTTGCTCAAGAACACCTCGATTTCATCCCACCTCCGATCTTCTTCCCAGGTTTGTTTTTTCGATCGAATCTCATCAACAAATATCGTATGATTTCTTTGATCTATGACAGGATCGTCTTACTCCTTTGATCTTTTGCAGAAGACGGATGGTGCCTTAGCTCAATCCCGTCGTGGGTTCCATGTCGAGCTAGGAGCTCGCGAGAAAGCTGTAAGTAACATTTATCTCTTTTTCTAGTGTAGGGATCGGAAATCGGTTTTAATATATTGGATTGTTTTAATTTTGGTTTTGAATTTGATTTGGGAGCTTCCTTCTGTGTCAAATAGGAAACTGATACAATTGTTCTGAAAGTCTCAGTGTATAATCCCAAATTCGAAATTAGCCAAACAAAAGTTTTTTTTTTTTTTTTGTTCTTATGAGATTCCTGTTTGCCATGGTTTTGTGTTGTTGCAGCTCTTGGCTGAGGATGGTGCATTGAGGAGATTCAAGTCGCATAAGAAAGGAGTGCATCAATTGAAAAGGATTGGAGATGTTCTCACTGTTATCGTTGTTGCTGGTAGGGGGAATTGTTTTGTTGTGAACTTGATGATTTTTTTTTGTGATCTTGAACACTATTCAATTACTAAAAGCTGCAGATAGAGATATCATTGTGCTTCACTCCTCATAACATATACTACTTTTGGTCACTTACTTTTATGTTATTTCATCATCAGCTTATCATCTCTTTGATGGAAAGCTAAAAACTTTACAAAATTTTCTGATATACATATCTAAGCACTTTGTAGTGTGGGCGGTCATAGAGTTAGGGGTTGATGACATAGTTAGAGTATTATGTGTGTTTGAGTTGAATAGCCTTGTCTTGTCTGCTTGTTTCAGGATGCTGCTATGAGATCTATGCGAGAGCAGTGATGAAAAAGGAAGCTCAGGCTGCAGGAGGAAGCTCATCATGAGTCTCTTTATGCTTTTTTTATCATCCATCTTCGTTTTTAAGCAAAAATCTCAGGAATTCATCTTGTTACTCTTGTTGGCTCTTGCTCAACGGTCTGAATAAGTAAAGAAACGATTAAGAATTTGGTATTTGTTGTATGAAAAAATCTTTATATTTGTTTTGGAGAAATCCAATTCGCTTTTGATGGAATCATGCAACTATGATTTGAGAAATTCAGTGGACCAGTATGCCTCGTACTCATAGATTCATCAAAGGCGTTCTCTACCTATATAGGTCATGTTATCGCTTAATTCGCATATTCTATACATTCTTCGCATATTATAAGTAAAACATTTGGTAGAGTATGCATCAATATATTTAGGGGCGCAATTTATTGTTGCCATGAACTTTAGTAACGAATTTTAAATTATATGGTGAAGTACGTTTTGAGTTTTTCTCTTTCAACTAATTATAGTATTATAACTTTCTTTTAAAACTCAGTTGAATCATCATTACAAATCATAATGATGGACTACAATGGAAATAATGGCGATGAAGCCGATATGAATGGAGAAACTTCAAAGAGAAATGATTATGCGGGAGGAGAAGATGAAGACAGTCGTTTTTCAGATGAACTGGATCCATTAGCAGAGGCCAGCGACGGTTTCCTCACCTTGCAAGAAGCTCTTGAAAAAGGTAGCCATTCTGATTTTGTAGTAGCGGATTTTAACTAAACTTGGATTTTCATGTTGGAATCAGACTGATATTATCACATAAGTGCCTATCAAGTCTAATGTGACTCTTTACGCAATTCCATTTTGCAGAGGTTCAGCAAATCCGGGAGATTGGGAAGGAACCGATACCACAACATAATGAAGGAGCCAGTGAAGTAAATTCACCTCGCTCGGAGAGTGTAACCCTTGTGAACAATGTCTAGAATTCTAGGTATGCAAATAAGAACTTAAGAATATTAAAGAACAACTTTTCTTTATTGCTCTAGAAAACTCTCTCAAAAACTAAAGCTCTCAAATCCTCAAACTCATAAGTTATGAAACAACCTTGCATCTCTTTATATAGTGGATAAAACCTTTTCCTATTAGAATTACTAATTTCTTTTTTCTTAGATAACTCCTAAGTATGTTTAGATAACTCCTAAACATACTCCTAAACATATTCTTAATCCTAATAGAAAATATCTAACTTGCTTACCAAGTTAACTTCAAGCTTAAGTCAACATTCTCCCCTTTAAGCTTGAAGTCATCTTCCTTCACAACTTGAACACCAATGAGATCTCTCATCTCTTTGAATTTGTTCCTACCAAGTGCTTTCATCAAAATGTCTGCCCTTTGCTCACTTCCGGGGACATGTTCTACTTCGACTTGTTCACTCTCTACACACTCTCTTATGAAGTGATATCTCTTATGGATATGCTTACTTCTACCATAGAAGACATGGTTTTTAGTAAGGGCAATTGCAGACTGGTTGTCAATCCTTATGACAACTCTCTCACTCGCTAAACCTGTGACTTCGCTGAGCAACTCTTGGAGCCAAATTGCTTGTCTTGCAGCCTCTGTTCCTGCCATGAATTCAGCCTCCCAAGATGATAAAGCTATTGTGTCTTGTTTTTGTGAGCACCAAGAGATTGGATTTTCACCGAGATAGAAAATATGCCCAGCTGTGCTTTTGCCATCATCAAGATCAACATTATAGCTACTATCGCTGTATCCCCACTAATCTTGGTATCTTCACCCTGAACTATTGAAGGTTAGACCAAGATTTGTGGTTCCTTGCAGGTACCTTAGACATTGCTTCATTGCTGCTCCATGGGACTCTCTTGGGCTCTGCATGTATCGGCTTAACACTCTGACAGCAAAAGATATGAAGCAGATACCAAAAGCAGCCAACATTTTTCCTGAACATTGTAGCATCTATTTCCTTATCCTCTTCAGACTTTGATAGTTGTAATCCAGTCTCCATTGGAGTATGAGTCAAGTTGCAGTTTGTCATTCCTGCTTCTTCCAAGATCTTCAAGGCATAGCGTCTTTGACTAAGTGTTATTCCTCCTCTGTATTGATGTACTTCGATCCCAAGATAATATGTGAGCTTTCCAAGATTACTCATGTCAAATTTTGATGCCATCTCCCATTTGAATTCTTCAATAACACTCCTATTTGTTCCTGTAACAAATTGATCATCAACATTAACTGCTATAAGAAGGAGATGCTCGTTTAGTCTTTTCCGATAGACTGATGGTTCCTTTGAGCATTTTTCGAACTTCAACCCAAGTAAAATCTGATTCAACTTGTTATTCCATGCTCTTGGAGCCTGTCTTAGCTCATACAAAGCTTTGATAAGCTTGTACACTTTCTCCTCACATCCTTTTTCTTCAAACCCTTCTAGTTGCGTGACAAAGACGGTTTCCTTTAGGTCTCCGTGGAGGAAAGCTGTTTTAACATCAAGGTGATATATCTCCCAGTTATTCTCTGCTGCAAGACTGATCAAGAGTCATACTGTCTCTAAACGTGCAACTGGAGCAAAAACTTCTTCAAAGTCGACACCATATCTTTGAACATATCCTTTGGCAACAAGTCGAGCCTTGTGCTTATTAATACTCCCATCTGAGTTTCGTTTGAGCTTGAATACCCACTTCAAACCAACTGGTTTTTTTCCTGGTGGTAGCTTGACTAGAGTCCATGTGTTGTTCTTCTTAATCGACTGAATTTCATCTTCACAAGCCAGCATCCATTCCTTCGAAGTTTTTGCCTCCAAGAAGTTCCCTGGTTCATCGTTTAAATAGAGTAATAGCTTTTCTCCTTCCTCTTCCGCAAGTAAAACAAAATTTTTCAAGATGTTTAGGCCTTACTGATGGCCTCGTTGATTGTCTCAACACAGGTGGAGATTGACTCTAAGCATCTAGGACCTCCGTCTCTTCTTCATAAGAGTTCACAGGTTCGTTATCTTCTTCTGTTTCGTCCATGTTTTCAGGGGTCCCTGTATCTTGCTCTGTTTCAACATTTTCCATTGTTCTTTGAACGCCATGATTTTCAAATTCTCCTAATGTGATTTCGAAGTTCCCATCTTGTTGTTCTGTTCCTCTCGATTTCTAGTTCCATCCTTTAGTTTCGTCGAACACAACATCACGACTAACCACAATCTTTCGACTTTGTGGATCTAATAACCGATATGCCTTAGATCCTGGTTCGGTGTTGAGATGAACAAGCGTACGTGATCTATCATCCAATTTCTTTATATGAGAAGTCTCCATCTTGGCGTACCCTATACATCCAAAAATACACAGATGATTGATGTTTGGTTTCTTATCTCTGAAGACCTCGTATGGAGTTCTGTCTTTTACTACTCTTGTAGCTATTCTGTTCAACAAATAGGTTGAGTGTCGTATGACTTCTCCCTATAAGTAGTTAGGCACGTACATGTGCTTCATAATACTCCTTTCCATTCCCATAAATGTCTTATTGGGTCTTTCAACAACTCCATTCTGTTGAGGAGTGTATGGAGCTGTAAAATGTCTCTTTATGTCATTATCAGAGCAGAAAGAATTGAATTCTTGAGACACAAACTCTCCTCCTCGATCTGTTCTGAAAGTCTTAATACTTGTTCCTGTCTCTTGCTCCATCAAGCACTTGAACTTTTTGAATTTGTTAAACGCATCACCTTTTTCCTTCAGCAGAATGGTCCACATGTACCTGGAGTAATCATCAATAAGTACGAAGATATACCTATTTCCAGCTGATGTGCTTGGAGTTATGGTCCGCAAAGATCTCCGTGCACGAGTTCGAGTTTCCTGCTGGCTCGATATGATATGGCTTTGGGGAACACTTGTCTTGTCTGTTTCCCGAATAAACACGAGCTGCAGATTTCCTTCTCAAAGTTCAACCTTGGTATTCCTTCCACAAGCTCCTTTTGGATCATGTTTTTGATGTAATCAGGGTTCACATGTCCTAGTCTAGCGTGCCATTTACTCGAATCACTCAGCTCTGCTAGATGTATACATGCTTTGTCTGTTATTCCCATTCGAACCTTATAAAGCCGATTCGGTGATCTGATTGCCTTGATAAGTAGTTTTCCCTCATTGTCGTGCATCGTTAGATGATCTCCTTTCATCCTTACGTCACAACCCGATTTCGTAGCTTGTCCAAGACTGATTATATTGCTTTTTAAGGCTGCAATGTAATAAACGTTCTTCATTACTGTTGAGTCATTGTTTCTATTGATAAATGATATCGAACCTTTGCCCTTGATATCGATCCGAGAATCATCACCAAATCGGACTTTTCCAGTGACAGATTCATTGATCTTAGTGAAGTATCTGCGATCTCCTGTTATGTGGTTGCTTGCTTTGTTGTCAAGATACCACAGATCCTCTTCTCCGTTTTGTATTTCATACTTACTTGGTGTACAATTCTTCTCATTCAGATACATCACTTCGTTCATTAGGAGCTCATCAGCATCTTTAGTATCTTTGTTGTTATTTTCTTGAGCCTCCTGTAGCTTGAGTAGTCGATCAGGACAGCTCGAAGCATCCTTGCTTGTCACATCTGTAGCAGGTGATCTATAAAAGATCAACATTCCTTGACTGATCGCCTCTTCCTCCATTAAACCGACCGCGACCACTTCCTCGAATAGAAACGACCTCCGCGTCCCCTGCCTCTATTTTCTCCATTGAAGTCTCAATTTTGTGATTCTGTATACATCAATTTGGTTTGATCTTCATGTGTTTCTTCTTCCTCTTCCTCGAAGATGCGTTATTCATAAGCTTTAAGTCGTCCTATGATGTCCTTGAAGCTTGTAGCGTTGAGATCCAACACTTGTTCGAGAGACGCCACGATAGGGATATACTTTCTTCGAGGAAGGCTTTTGAGAAACTTTTTAACCAGCTTCGATTCTTCAATTTTTACTCCTAAGGCTTCAGATTTTGAAGAGATCTCAGATAACTTCCCAGAGAAGTCATAGATTGTTTTGGTCTCTTTCATCTTAAGACGGTCAAACTCTGCCATTAGAGTTTGTAATCTCTCCTCTTTAACGCGTTCAGCTCCCATGTGTCTTGACTTGATCGCTTCCCAAACCTTCTTTGTCGTGTCTAGCTTCCCAACTTGCAGAATTAATGCCTCGGGTATTGACTAAAACAAGAGAGCAATCGCCATAGACTCTCACCCGCGGGCTGGAAGAATCTCACCCCCGGTGGACCTTAGTACGAGCCACAAGGCCCAACATCAAAGCCCTAAATGAGACCTGGAAGACCTTAGAACCTATAAATACATTGTTTAGCAGCCCTAAATGGGTGTGTGCTCCCGTAATGAGATTTTGAGCCACCAAATTTTTTTTTTCTAGGTTAGACGATGGAGATGGGGATTATTCCCCAGATCTATTGTTCTTCCTCCTTTTTATTTTATTAACTTTTCTGTTTCATTCTTTTGCATTCTTCTATGTCTTTCATCATTCATTGCATCATGTAGATTAGTCCAAGAGAGTCAAGTTGCTTGAAGATATGGACAAGCATATATATATATATCGATTAGGATTTCTATTGTTCTTAGCTATATTCTGGATCTCATCTCTTCAAAGTTGTTTGTAAAGCATGAGAGTAGATTCATGACCTATTCTCTTAGCCTAGGATCGATCAGAGGCACGAGAGTGCTGTATCAGATCATCCATACCTAGTTTCAGAAGAACATAGTCGCTATAGGAGTCGAAAGCTACCTATAGAGAAGATGTGAGCAGACGAATTCAATGTCCAATGCATGATCTTAAGTTTAGCATGAGAGCGAGAGTTAATTGCTAAATCAAAGAGATTAGTTGATTAAGGTGACGACAGGTTGTTAATCATACATATGTCTATTCTAGTTTAATGCAGATTCCCAGAAACAGATGAAGATAAATCGCCCGGAAGCTAATTAGAAATGCCATCATACATCGATTAGAGTAAACCGGAGAAGTCTA